GAGCCCCCAGGCCGGTGTCTTCCCAACAGTGATCAAGGGCACCACGGATCACTGGGACTCTGCCCGCTGTGCGTCACTGAGGATCTTCCAGAGCAGATCTTCCCATCGGGTGATGAAGCTGGAGCAGCGCACAAAGCTCTTCCTGCACTCGGGGCACTCACAGGGCTTCCCTTAGTGATGGCTCCGTTGGTGTGTGGTCAAGGCAGACCGCTGCGAGAAGCTCTTCCCACACTTCCCACACTCAAAGGGCCGTTCCCCCGTGTGGATCCTCTGGTGGACAATCAGTTCAGACCTCCCCCTGAAGCTCTTCCCACACTTCCCACACTCAAAGGGCCGTTCCCCCGTGTGGATCCTCTGGTGGACAATCAGTTCAGACCTCCCCCTGAAGCTCTTCCCACACTTCCCACACTCAAAGGGCCGTTCCCCCGTGTGGATCCTCTGGTGGACAATCAGTTCAGACCTCCCCCTGAAGCTCTTCCCACACTTCCCACACTCAAAGGGCCGTTCCCCCGTGTGGATCCTCTGGTGGACAATCAGTTCAGACCTCCACCTGAAGCTCTTCTCACACTGTCCACACTTGTAGGGCCGTTCCAGCCCTCTGTGTATTTCCATGTGGCGGGAGAGGCTGCAGCTTATTGGGAAGCTTTTCCCACACTCCCCACACTCATAGGGCCGTTCCCCCATGTGGGTTCTCTGGTGGATGGTCAGTTCAGAGCTCGTCCTGAAGCCCTTCCCACACTCTGCACACTTGTAGGGCCGTTCCCCCGTGTGGATTCTCACGTGGCGAGTCAGGGTGGAGTGCTGGGTGAAGCTCTTCCCACACTCAGGACACTCATAGGGCCTCTCCCCGCGGTGGGTGCGCAGGTGGGTGATGAGGCCGGGCTTGAGCTTGAAGCCCTTTGCACAAATGGGGCAGCAGAAGGGCCTCTCCTCTGTGTGAATCCGCTGATGCCCGAGGAGACTGGAGCTGGTCTGAAACCTCTTCCTGCATTTATCACACTCGTAGGGCAGTTCCCCAGTATGGATTCTCATGTGGCAGATCAGTTCAGAGTTCCATCTGAAGCTCTTCCCACATTCCGAGCACTTGTGGGGTTTCTCCCCATCCTGGAGCTGCTCATGGACCCCCAACTCTGAGCTCCGGCCACCTCCCTGGACCAGGGTGGGTCTTTCCTCCTCAGATTCCCGTGATCTGCGTTTGCAGCCCCTCCTCGTGCGTGATCTCCGGAGATTTTCCTCCTCACTGGATTCCTCTGATGTGGAGCCACTCAAAACAGCCTCTTCCACGACGTTCTGATGTGGGAATTTGTTCTCCCTGGTCTCCATCCTCAGCTCCTTCCCTGGGGCAGGAAGGACAAGGAGAGGATGGGATTTGCCTCCATACCATAGAGAAGGGCAAGGAGATCCCCGCAGTGCATCCCCAGCATCATGGCATCAGCAGTGGGGTTGTCCTGCAGCTGTGGGCCGTGCTGGGATGGGAGATGGAGCAGGAGAGAGAGGGAAAGGAGCAGGGACCTCCTCCTCACCTGCATAGGGCTCCGGAGCCATCTTCTTCTTCCTCACAGTCTCCTGCTCCTTCATTCGGCCAAGGTTTGGAAATGAGAAATTCTGGTTTGGGGGAAAAAAAGGGTTGAATGCGTTGGGTTTGATGGTCCCACTGCCCAAGTGCACCTGGAGAAGTCAGCGCCCCTTTCAGCCTCGGGGGGCCCTTACCCCGCTCATGCCCAGCCTCCCCCACCCCTCCAGCCAGCCCGTTCGTCCCCCGCCTCCGGGATCGCCCCTCTGCGCTCTCCCCGCTCCGGGGCTCCCGCCTTCCCCCGCCTCTCCCGGGCATCCCCAAAGCCGAGATCGCCCCTGTGCCCGCCTGGCTTATGTAAGGTGAGACCCGGACTGACGTTTGGATGCAGTTTTGGGCGTGGTTTTGTGTTGGGACGGATGAAAGTTTGACAAGAAAATGTCACAGATATGGATGCTTGGCAGAAAGAGTTTTGAGTGTAGAATCTGAAGAAGGAATAGAGACGAAAGCAAGTTTTGATATAGAAGAAAAGA